TAAGGTGGCACTCCACCCCCGCCCCCAGACTCGCGCCCACGCAGGATCTGCTGCACCCCCACTCCTCGCACCATCGAGCTCCCTGCCTGGCTCACGCTGTGCCTGCCATCCTTCTCTGCTAAAGAAAGTCGACCCACTCACTCTTCCACACTCTGATCAAACCCCACTTCCTCTGCGAAGCCTAGCCCAATGATTCTAGTTAGGATTTCGAGTTAGATTTCTTCTATACACACACTCAAACCTTTACTTAAGAATTAATGATGATCAATTAATTTAAGTGACTAAAAATGAATAAAAGTAACTATCATTTCCTGAGCACTTACTGTATGCCCAGCAATTTGCGTTCATCATCTTATTAATGGTCAGAGCAGTCTGTGGGGTAGGCAGTAGTAGCCCCACTTTACAGGAGTCTAAACTGAGGCTTGAGGGGGTTAGGTAACTTTCCAAGGTGACACACAGGAAGTGGCAGAATGAGTATCTGAAGTCAGCATGGTTCTACAGGTAGAAAAGGCGGGGATCGGGGTGACTCACCTGTGTGCTCCCCAGGGCACCACACAAGACGAGGAGGGTGACTCACCTGTGTGCTCCCCAGGGTACTGCACAAGATTGGGGTGACTCACCTCTGCATTCCCCAGAGCACCACAAAGGACTGGGGTGACTCACTTGTGCATTCCCCAGGGCACTGTGCAGTTCTTTGTAATTAATGAGTGCTTGATATGTGTTTGATAAATGAGTGATTCTCACCCCCCAAAACAATCTCCTTGCCCCCATAGTCACGTGAGAGCACTGTATGCCTCCTGTGGCAACAAGTTAATACAGCACCTGCAGGAATAGCTCCTTTCACAAACATTACACCATCAGGATTACAAATCGGGGGCTGCAGTCCAGCTACCAAACTCACTCAAGACTTTCCATCTTCTTTCATAAAAATTCGAAGATAAAGTGCTTTTCAAAAACAGACTGGTAATTCCATCTTACAAGGAATTATTTAAGTAAGTGCAAAAATATTCTCTCCTTTCTACTTAAAAGATGTTATCGCTGAGCATGATCACTGCCTGGTGACGACTGAAAAGACTAATGTTCATTCAATAGCTCTTGACCTACTAAGAACATGTGAAGATAGTGGCTCCTTTCACTGGGGCTGCAGCTGCTATTCCCAGGCGGGGGCTATTACCCTCTGTCCCCTGGAGCCCCACCAGCAGGCGGCTTTGCCTTGGATGACGCCCCTCTGCTCTGGCAGGCCCTCTCTGGCTCACTGGGCTGACCCCAGTCCACTGTTCTGACATGTGGTCTCTGCACATACTGAGCCTAGAAACCCAGACTTCAGGCCAGTGACCCCGTCCAGGCCCTAGTCCTTGCTGCTCAACAGCCTGTTGCCTCTGAAGTTTACTAGGGCCCAGAGGTGATGAGCACGAAACTGCCCAAGGAGACAGATGTAACCTCTCGCTATTGGGCATGGTGGCGGGATCCCTGGATTAAAGGCCTTTCCTTTGACATGAGACTGGCCATTTCAAGCACTGACTGACAGATTTCCCAAGGAAAATGGGATTTCTAGCCTCCTCCTAATATAGTAGCACCTGGTACAGCAACTTACATAATTAAGTAATAATCAATGTTTTTTAAATTGTGGTTAAAAAATGAGTAGCAAAATTATCATCTGAACAATTTCTAACTGTACAGTCAAGGGGCATTAAGCACATTCACACTGCTGTGCAAACATCACCACCATCCGTCCAGCAAGACTCTTCATCTTCCCCAAATGAAACTCTGTCCCCATTAGACACCAACTCCTCACTCCCCACCGCCCAGCCCTTGGCACCCACCCTTCCACTTTCTGTCTCTATGAGTTTGACTACTTTAGATACCTCATATAAGTGCAATCACACAGTATTTGTCTTTTGGCTTATTTCACTTAGCATAACAGACTAATATCCCACTGTGTGGATATACCCGTTTTATTTATTCATCCACTGATGGACACGAGGGTTGCTTCTACCTCTTGGCTATTGTGAATAATGCTGCTATGAACATGGGAAATATCTCTTCAAGATCTTGCTTTCAATTATGTTGGATATATGTACCTAGAAGTGAAATTGCTCCATCATATGGTAATACTAAATTAATTTTTGAGGAGCAATTACTGTTTTTTAAATTTTTTTGTTGATCTATGAACCACTGGGAGGTACACTTGAACTAAAAATAACTATTAGCTCTGCACTGCCAATGAAAGCTTTCGGTGGGGACGAGGGCTCTTTCCAGATGTTGAACTTTTAGGAATAAACATAAAATATGAGGAGAGTCACATAAAATATGTGTTTCAAGAAGTCACATTTGTTAATTCTGGAGGGTTGTATGTATAATCTTCATGCCAAAATATGGAAGCCAGTACAAATTTAGGTAAGTTAATATGTTTTGAATACTTAGTCTAAGTACTTGGAGAACATGCATTTAAATCTGAGATCTAAAAGGACTGGGGGAAAACTTTATAAAAAGAATGTTGAGTTAATAAAAAATATGTATTTATGTATTTAATATATTTACACAAAAATGTCTGTGCAATAACAAAGATACAAAGAACACTAGAAACTTGTCAATACGGGGTCATTTATGACCATTGTTAAAGGAGTTAACTGTATTTTGCAATGTTTTAGTGTTTCTTTACAAAGCAGGTTAAACTACGACTCCCAGAAAGAATAGGCAGCTTCATTAAAAAATAAACTAGAACAGTACTAAAACTAAACCCATCACCTGAGCCCACTGGGAAGAAAACATAAAGCCGGGACTACAGGGACTTTCACCATTCCCGCAGAAACAACATTGTCTAATCAACTTTCAGGAATGGACAAAGAGGGTGAGGATTAGGAAAATGCCAAAATATAGGCGGTAGTTTCATAAGCCACCTCGATTAGCCTGGAAACGTATGCTTCAAGTAGATGCTGGTTCCTGCTGACTTCTGTTATAGTCACTTTGAAGAATGTTCTAACTGTTACCTGTAATCAATATCAGGAGCTTAGGGACCCAAAAAAGGTGCCATTAAATGTCTCAGGAAGGAAGGAACTCAGACAAGCAGACTTGTCTCATTGCATAAAAACACACCTTTGTGGTCTTTTTTTTCCTCAAATGCTGTGTCACTGGTCACATAGAGCTGGACTAAAAGGAGTTATTTTTATATTTTAGTAACTGAGGACCATAAATATCATAACTCTGATAATACTGAAATAATCAAAACAAAATATAATATGTAAAAAAACTATCAGAAACACCAGTGAGAACTCCTTCCTCTTAGCTCTCATGCCTCTATTAAACAATTTTTCAGGCCACATGGCAATTATCATATGTCTGCTCCCTCCAAGTAGGAAACCTAGAGGACAATGACCACATTTTCTCTCTGTATCCCACGAGTGCACCATGCTGCCTTTCTATAGCAAGTGTTCAATAAATAAGTGCCCTCCATGATGGAAGGAAATGTGGGGATGGTACAGAAAAGTAGGTTTAATTCCAGTTTTCCTTACACAGACAGAGAGCTCTGTGAGGTCCCAGCTGCTTTAGAGGAAGATTAAAATATTAATTTTAGGCTTTGTTAAATGTGCATGGTGTAACTTCTAGTGTAACTCTACACAAAATTAAGACAGTACCTAAAATCCAAATTAGTGGATGGAAAAAATGAAACAAGGGAAAAAAATCAAGAATTCAAAAAAAGGCTACAGAAAATGTAATACAGAAATTTGAAACAGGTAGGAAAAATAATACAAAATAGGTACACAGAACTCCAAATCTCAACACAGATACAATAAATGTAAATGGACTAAATGTTCCATGTTAAAGTGACCAAGACTGACAGATTAATAAATTTTTAACAATAAGCTATTTACAAGAGATACAAACCAGAGAAAAGCACTGATAGAAATAAACCAGGCAAATTCTAACTGAAAGAAAGCTGGTGTAACTATGTTAATATTAATAAAAACTGACTTTATCTTAGTAATGCTTTTAATCTTAATGAGAGTCCCTTCATAATGATCAATAGGTCAAATTACAGGAAGTGAAATCAGCCCTAAATTTGTATCCCTGACACAACAGGATATCAAAACTATGATATAATCCAATGAAAGCTAATACAGTTTATTAGTAATTTGTCTTTGAAATTAACTACTTCTGCCAATGAGAGTAATATTCAAATCATATTTAGGAAATAAAACAAAAATTCACACTGTTTACTGCTCTCTTTCAATTTTACCAGCTGAAAATATTCCCTGAAGTAACTGGGGATTTATTTTGGCATACTCCCACTTCTCTGTGCAGTCAAGGAAGTACAATTTTCTGAAAACTGAGACAATGCAAAGAAATCAATCAAAACCTAAATTTTAAAAAAATACGTTTACGGGAAATTTTCACATAAAAATTATCATAAAAACTGCACAAAGAACAATCTTTCCAACTATAATATAAATCTCAGTAAGTAATACTATCATGCAAAGAAATGAAGCTATCAATTTTAGGTTAAGAAAATAAATCATCTAATTATTTAAAAATATACGTGTTACATACATTCACTATTTTTAAAAACTGACAGGTCATGGGTACTCTGTAGGTGAGATTCTTGAGCTCCCTCACTGGGGAAAAGAGTTTTAAAATGCCTAGCTGAAGTTAAGACCTCAAGGTCTCAGGAAGGGCAAACCTCGATCCAAGCTCTGGCTCTGCCACACACTTGATGTATGACATTTTCTTAATCTCCGTGAGCCTTATTTTAACATACATAAAGTATGGACAAATATGACTGAAACGCGGTAATGCATGCAAATAGCTTAGACAGGGATGGAGTGTAAAACACCTACGTGTCAGCTAATACTGTTATCAAAGGTAATGAATTCATATTTCATAAAGTTTTTGAAATGGGGAACAGAAGTGAAAGCAGTCCCCCCGCCAGCATTTCTATCTGTCAAAAACACTTGGATATAACCTTTTGAATGCTTGACCTTGAATTTTTACTAAACACTTACCAAGTCACAGAATTCAAACACCAGAAGATATGGAATAGCTTCTACACATTGTCCAACACACTGAAGAATGTTTGGGTGCTGAAGAATACTGGTAAAAATAAAAGTCATAGTATTATTCATCGGGGAGTATGCTAGTAAAATTGTTCAAACAATAATCCAATTTTAACATTCATAATGATTTAAACATGATACGCTGAAAAGAGCACATTAAGAATATACTTAACAGATATAATCTAAGTTACCTAATGATTAAATAATTCAAAGCCAATCAGGCAACATCTTCACAAATTAAATTAGAACTCCTAATATAAAAATCTTTAATTTTAGTAATTTAAATTCATAAATATCATTTTGAAATAGCATTTTAAAAAGGTAGACTATATATACAAATTCAATAAGCTTTTCAATCCATATATTAAATAACTCAACTTCTACTCAGGCTATCTAGCTTTTATACTATTTCCATAAGTTTCCATAGTATATGCAAACTCTTTTGGGAAAACATTTTACCCAAAAGAAAAGTTAAAAAAAAATATGCCAAAATAGTTTTGTTTTTTTTCAAGTTTATATTTTCAAGCAATTATGAATTACCAGTAAGTTGCAAAGACAGTACCGAGAGGTCCCATGTTCCCTTCACCCAGTTTCCCCATTGGTTACATCTGACACAATTACAGTACAATACCCAAACCAGAAAACTGACAGTCGGATACAGAGCGCAGATATTTCTGCATCCAGTTATCACACGTGTAGATGTGCACAACCCCACCTCAACAGAAATACAGACCTGCTCCATGACCACACAGCTCTCCTCCACGCTAGCCCTTCATAGTTCCAGCAACCTCCCTGCCCACCCCCATCATCCCTAAGCTCTGGCAACCACTAATCTGTTTTCCATTTCTATCATGTTCTCGTTAAATAAGGCTCTGAATCTTATTTATATTGTGCATTTTATGAGCAAAAATTTCAAAGTTTTGTTGTTGTTTAAAAAATATTTTGGTTTATTCAAAGGCAAACTTGTTTGGCGGATAAGATATTCTTAGGACTAACAATGTTGAAATTTTAAGTGACGTATTTAAAATATTGCTCTTTGGATTAAGTTTTGCAGCCTGTCCATGCAGAGATAGGGAGAGTAATTTCCTAAATGAGTTGATTTTTATTATTATCCATGACAGGTGCATAAAATGTGCAATGAAATGAGGACCAGCAGATGCCTCCAATGACATCAAAGTCGGTTTCCCCTTGAGGTCCCCTGTATCTTGCTGACATATCTCAATATTTCATTCTCCCTAGGGTCACAAAACCAATTCGTTGCCAAGAACCTTGACAATCTCGTTCTACTTAACTTTTGGGATTACAATGCCATCATGTTCCTGACCAGGAACTCTCATGTTCTGCAGCTTCCCTTTGATTTTTTTCTTTTATTGAAGTGTAATTGGGATACATAATATCATATTAGTTCAGGTGTACAATATAGTGATTCGACATTTATACACCTTACGATGTAATTCCAAAGTAGTTTTAAACACCTGACTCTCAAAAGATCACAGAGTACATTTACACAACACATATTAAGGTTTACTTACTAGTAAGGTTCTCCATTTTTCAAAAAAGTATCTTGTTCCTTTGGGCTTGCACTTGCTTTTAACTCCTTCACTATTACTCTCGCTACACTAGAGCCCGTGTAAATCTCGCCAAGGAGGACCTAAAAACCAAGGAACACTTTTTCATTTCACTTTCATCAAAATGGTAAAGAAGTATGTGTCATTTATCAGAAATGGAATACAGGAAAATAAATTAAGCAATAAGCAGATGGCCTTCTATTATTTTAAATACTACCTCACAAAAAGCTTGGAAAAGTAAAATATTTCTTTCAGTTTTAAACCATCCATCAGATATTTACAACATTCATATATTTACGTGTATTTCTTTTCTATTTACTTAAAAATGTATTATACTTTCATGGAAATGACCAATGGCATTACAGAAGAGTAATTTATAAGTTCAGTTCAAACATAACTCAAATGTTTCTCAAAAACACTTCAGCTGAGTTTTGTTATTTTGTCTCCTTCACATCTGAGATAGTAAACCGACAAATAGCCAGTATACAAACCAACCATCATTGCATCATAATGTTAAAAATTCCTGGCATTTCAATTATTCTGGGCCTTTATCTTGTACTAAACTTCAGCCAAAATACAGAGGAAAAAAATGTTCCACTGAACTAAACAGAACACAAAATGAGAATGAAAATAAGAACAAGCTACAATTGATATATTAAGTATAATATGGAACAGTGTAAAAGCATTCCAAAATACAATATTTAAGATAAAGTAAACATTTTATTTAATTTGAGAATGACCAAAACTAAAGACTTCCTTTTAAAATAGTTTTTTAATCTTTTTATAAAATAGGTTAATTTTAATACCCTAGAAATAAAGAGTAAAACTTGAACAGAATTTACTGTGTTTATTTGGAATATAAGGGCAGAAAAATGAACAGAACAAGAAATTCTGATAATTAACTAAGTCTCACTCTTTGTTTCAAATAACCAGCTTGTGCAAATGGAGTATGCCTAACACTTATAAGATAGCAATTTCAAGAAAGGGGGCAAATAATAGCAGACTACTGCAATAACCTGGCTCACTGTTCTTCTCTCGCCTCCACCACTGTTACCATTCTTGGTGTTCAGTACCTGCAGGACAATTCATTCAACAGCTTGACCTCTTAAGTTCTTTGACCTCACTTCCAATAGCCTTCCTACAATCCTATCTCAGCAAACACTCCCATGGGTCTAGACTTAGCTAGTAATTATATTATGTCCCAAACCTTGAATTTTAACTTCTTCTCTACCAGTCCTTTGATTTCAGGCTTACTTACTTCAAGAGTCAAATCCAACAAGTACACAGCTTGCCCTCCAAATCCATTAATGATACCACTTTTCTACCATCTTGCCTCTACCACAGGTCCTCACCCCCCTCTCTGACAGCTTACACCCCATGGTCCTTCACTATCATCACCCCCTTGCCCCTCTCGCTGAGGTGTATCAGCTTAGTCAAACCCCAGGGCTGCTGAAATTCAAGTAGCTGCCTACAATAAAAAAACACCAAAAGTCGGCAAAAACATGCAATCATGATGATCAGTCTCATTTTAAACTCGTGAGGGTCCTCAGCTTTGCCCATCTCTCCCACATTTCCCTACTGATATGCTTTCCCAGAGGGTTCTTTCACCTCTCCTTCTGTTCAAACTTCCAATACATTTTCTTACTCCTCCCTTTCAAAGTGGCCTCCTATTCACTGAGTACAATAATCAGAAGTTAACTTCCTCATTTTAACACTAAATCCACCCGCAACTGTATCCACACCCTCTGCTTTTGCTCCCTTTTCAAGAGAGAAACTGTGTCTGCTCCCAAGGCCAAGTCCTACAAGTGGGCGAGGGATTCCTCCTACAATCACTCCCCTCTCTCCTGCAGTATCAGTTTCTCCCCCTCTAATATAAACATGCTAAAATAGGTGCACACGTTATAAAAAAAAAAAGCAAATAAAAAACCTTCCCTTGGCCCTCAGATGGTCCCAAACAGCTCCTACTCCATTCCAACCAATGTTCCTGCCTTCCCTTGACCCTCGGCAACATAGCTGCCAGAGCGATCCTTCCAAAAGGTAATAAGCCGTGGGGCCAGCCGAGTGGCGC